TCAGTCTGGCCTGTGCCCTCTCGCAGTCTGGGACCCCTCAGGGGATGTCCACCTGCTGGCTTAGGCCCGCTACCTGGGGGATCAGGTCTAAGCTGGCAGTCAGACATCCCTCTGGCAGCCCAGAAGCCCTCGGGGGGGGATGTCCAGCCAGAGGTGAGCAGGCCTAAGTTGCAGTCGGACATCCTTAGTGCTGCTGAGGAGGCAAGAAAGGCTCCTGCCACCACTGCTGTGCTGGCAGCCGTCTCCCCTGTGGGAGCGCACTGACCACCAGGGGGCAGGCGCTCAATGCAGGAGCTGCCCCCTGGTGGTCAGTGGGTATCATAGTGCCCAGTCATTCCCAGTCATTCTGCTGTTAGGGTCAATTTGCATATCACCCTTTTATTATATAGGATAGAAGCCTGGTGCACAGGTGGGGGCTGGCTGGTTTTCCCTGAAGGGTGTCCCAGATCAGGGTGGGGGTCCCGCTGGGGTGCCGGGCTAGCCTGGGTGAGGGACTGATGGCTGTTTGCAGGGTGGCCACGCCCCCCAGCGGGGACTCTTACTCCATGGGGCAATGGCCAGTCTGGGTGAGGGGCTGAGGGCTGTTTTCAGGCTGGCCACAGCCCCTCCAGGGTGGGGGGGTCCCGCTGGGGTGCCTGGCCAGCCTGGGTGAGGGGCTGAGGGCCGTTTTCAGGCTGGCCACAGCCCCTACACGATGGGGGGTCCTGCTGGGGTGCCTGGCCAGTCTGGATTAAGGGCTGAGGGCTGTTTTTAGGCTGGTCACAGCCCCTTCACGGTGGGGGGTCCCACTGGGGTGCCTGGTCAGCCTGGGTGAGGGGCTAATGGCTGTTTGCAGGGTGGCCACGCCCCCCAGCGGGGACTCTTACTCCATGGGGCAATGGCCAGCCTGGGTAAGGGGCTGAGGGCCATTATCAGGCTGTCCACAGCCCCTTCAGGGTGGGGAGTCCCAGAGGGGGGCCTGCCCAGCCTGGGTGAGGGGCTAATGGCTGTTTGCAGGGTGGCCACGCCCCCCAGCGGGGACTCTTACTCCATGGGGCAATGGCCAGTCTGGGTGAGGGGCTGAGGGTCATTTTCAGGCTGGCCACATCCCCTTTAGAGTGGGGAGTCCCAGAGGGGGGCCTGCCCAGCCTGGGTGAGGGACTGAGGGCCGTTTTCAGCCTGCCACAGCCCCTTCATGGTGTGTGTGGGGGGGTCCCACTGGTGTGCCTGGCCAGTCTGGATTAGGGGCTGAGGGCTGTTTTCAGGCTGGCACACCCCCTTCAGGGTGGGGGTCCCTGCTAGGGGGCCTGGCCAGCCTGGGTGAGGGGCTGATGGCTGTTTGCAGGCTGGCCAAGCCCCCCAGCGACCCAAGCTCCCAGCCTCTCTCTTTTTTATTTTTTTCAGCACTTCCTTGAGCGGTATCTGGGATTTATTTATCTTCTATAATTGAAACTTTGTAGCCTTGAGCAGAGCCCAGGTCAGACCAGGGCAGTTGGGAAGCTTGGCTTCCTCCATCACCAGGGGTAACCCAAGCCTCCTGCTCGCTCCAGCTCCGTGAGCACCTCTGTGAGCAGATTGCCAGGCTGGCTGGAAGCAGGTATCTGGGATTTATTTTTCTTCTATAATTGGAACTTTGTAGCCTTGAGCGGAAGCCACAGCCGGCCAGGGCCACGGGAAGCTTGGCTTCCTCCATCGCCGGGGCAACCCAAGCCTCCTGCTTGCTCCAGCTCCATGGCTGCCGGCCACCATCTTGGTTGGGTTTATTTGTATAGTTACTCTGATTGGCTTGTGGGCATAGCAAAGGTACGGTCAATTTGCATGTTTCTCTTTTATTAGATAGGATTACTGTGTTATTTTCCATATGAACTGTAAATTTACTTTTCCCCTATGGGTATAATAAATGAAAACTAAGGTTTTTGTTTACTTTCTGGGTGATACTACTGTTTCCATTTGCTCCCTTGCTAGATGGCTGAAAAGGAACATGAAACCCACTGAAGATCTTCAGTCAGTAATCCAGAAGCTGTCCAATTTTGGGCCAATTAAGTCAGTCAGCCTTTGTGGACAGCAAAGTGCCATCGTGGTGTTTGAGAACACGACTTCAGCATGCAATGCTGTGAGTGCTTTTCACAGCAGGACCCCTGGCACCATGGTGCAGTGTTCCTGGCAACAACCATTTATGTCAAAAGTTGTAAGGGTCCCTTTACCAAAAACCTATGTAAGTTCTTTTTCTTTTTTACTGCCAAAATGTTTATTGTGAAATGGTCTTAAAACAAAGGAAAGCAAAGCTTACATCCAAATGAAATGTATGACACCAAATTGGATTTCTGAATTCACTGTGGACTTTGTGCCGGAATGCCAAATTCCAACTATGAAGGCTATAACTGAATACTCTTACCATGCAAAAGTAAAATTTAATCTGCCATGCAACCATTATGCAAGATTTTGGCATAGGATTTGCTCAGAGTAACATTGCAACAGAATAATTGAGAAAAAAAATTTGTTATAAAACAATAAAGTGATAAGGCCATCTATTTAAGTCTCATACTCAAGGAATATATTTTCTATTTATTACAAAAATTTTAAAATAGTGCAAAAGCAATATGTGCAGTGTGTTATATCTGACATTAAAAAATTATTCTGCATAGGATGCACATGAAACTTTAGTTTGAAGTAAATAATCACATGCCAGAGAGCTCCTCACAGGCAAGAGTGCAAACTACATGTTGGGTCTGAGGAAACATGGCTAGTCCTCCGGATTTCCAGGCAGACACGCATTTTCCTCATAGAAATGCTGCATCAAGAGCTACCCCGCTCCCATTCCTTGATTTTTATGGGGTCAAGTTTGAATCCCTCAGCTGGTGTTGAAGTGTAACACATCTGCTGCATACTAAAAACCACTGGCTACAAAACAGTTCCAGAGCACCCAAAACAGGCATGCTATGTGCCTCCACACTCTCCCCATTGGTTGTTTATGTAAAAGACCAAATTGTAATTTTGCTTAAAAAAAACACAAAACAAAGATTGTTAGGAAAAGGGCACTTTTTAAAATAACTTGGCTGTTTTGTAGAATTGTAGACACCTCAATGGTTAAGAAAAAACAAAACTTATTGTGGCATCAGTGTAGCAGGAGAGTACATTTAGCTGTTTCACAGTTTCCACCAGCATTCTTCTGGGGAAAGAAACCATTTCCACAAGTGGGGATTTAAAATAAATACCACAAACCTGTAAAATTCAGATAATGTAGTAGTTGTAATTCTGACTTGGGTAATTCTATTTTGGGAATAAAAATTAGATGTGGAACTCGAAAACTGCCAGGTGTAACAAGTTTCTCAATGATGGGTGTTTTGGATGAAATTCTTTAATAGGTGTGACTATCCTGGCATGCTGGATATTACAAAGTCTTGGTATTGGACACTCAATACATCTTCTGTCACCATGACAACCAAAAATATGCCCCAGCACTCCCAAATACCGTTAGGTGACAGCACTAGCCCGGTAGAGAACACTAGTATGGTGTCATCAAATTCTAAATGATCAACTGGCTCCAGGGCAATGTGGGAGCAGCAGCTGAGGTTGCCAAGGCCCAGCACATGGAGAGGGGGGGGTGGGGGGGGGGGCACCTGGAGTTGAGAGGACTGCGGCCCCACAAGGCTCCCATACCTCCACCGGAGTCAGGAGTTGAACATCAAAACTATGTAAATTCTTAAAGCTTGTTTTATATAATTTTTTATCAGGGCTCTAGTGAATATAATAATCATAAATATTTCATCACTGAAAAAAAGGCACAGTGAAGTTTATTTAGTTGAAGTACTGGAAATTAGAAATCATAGCACATCCCCTCCTTTGAAATGCTTAACTTTGCTATATTAGTCATCACAGTTTTGCTTTTTTGGATAAGAAGTTCATGGTTGCATTTATGCATTCGTCTGATAGCCATCTTTCCTGGAGGACACTACTTTCTTCAGCATTAACAGCATGTAGCTTTTCTTTCTCCATATTCCTGATGACCTGTTTAGAAATTCTCATGGACTAAAAAAAACAAAACCAACAATAAGGTTAAGAGGTATTCTAATAGCGTGGGATTATTCTAAAATTCTGATTCTTGTTTCTCCACTGTTCATTCAATCTGATTAGACATTAAAATATTTGTGTAATATATGACTGTGCTTCTCAAATTTTAATGTGCATACAAACCACCTTAGATACTAAAGCTTCTGATTCCAGGATGGCAATTTGAGCAGCAAAAATATCAATCAGTCACTACCTATCACATATGAAAACAAAAGTGCTACATTAAGAATCACCTAAAAGTTAAGCTATCTTACCTAGTTTCTCACCTAGAATCAAGACTAAAAGTGTTTGGCAAATACTGCCTATCGTTCTCCTCAAAGTTATCCCCAGAAAGAACTGGCCCCTCTGCCTTCATGTCATAGAAATGGAATGCCTATTTGATAAATTTTCTAAAAATTAGTATTGCTAACATTATAATTTTTAATCTCAAATTTAGATGTACTTAAAGCCAACCAAGATATGTCTTGTGTGTGTGTTTTTTTTAATTGCTTATTTTCTTAAGGTAAATAAATTATTTCCATGGTTCATACAAGTTAAAAAAAAAGAAAGAATACTAACATTTGGGGGGAGCTTTGAATATGCTTTCAGCCGAGTCCAAACTTCTTTCTGAAAAGTACTGTCAGGAAAAACTTCAGTAACAAGTCCTTGAGCACATGCTTCTCCTGCTGTTAACTTCTTTCCAAAAATAAGCATCTCCGTTGCCTGAAATGAAAAGCAAGACTAAGAAAATAACTTAATGAAACGAGGCTGTTAACTTCAGAATTAATTGCTTTTAATAGACATAGGGAGATTTACTTATGGTCTTTTGAGGGTGCTAGTATTTCTCAAAGGAAGAAACTGAGGACATCAATAGGCAATAGTTTGCAAACTGAGCAGTGAGGCTCTCTAGAAGGTTTGTAGGTTGTTGCTTCTGTGTGTTATCTGTGTTGGAGAGGAAGCTGGGGCAGAAATGACCTGAAGCAGGTGCTGACTTTATAACCCACAGAAGATATGATTTTCTGCTTTTATACACTATAAACAATTATTTAAAAAAAGAAAAAAATCATGGTCATAGGAAATGCCAACCAACTTTTAGAATCCCTAACCTTCAAAATTCCCTTCCCTGGAAATTCTACCCAGTGGTCCAGCTCTGATAGTTTTCTTTTACCTGCACAGGTACTCAAATTAGTTCTATTTGACTGAAGGAAAGTGATAAGACTAATATTCAGTTTCAAAAAAACCTGATATCACTAAGTATATATATTTCTACACTTGCAATTTCTCTTCCAGAAAAGTAAGACTATTTCATAGCCAAATGCTTTTAAACCTTAGGGTTATTTCTAGCCAACGGTTCAAAGTTAAAACCTCAATAACAATTCAAGGTATATGACAGAATAGATTTAAAAAATATGTAACAAAACCCTAACAGCAAAGAAAATAGGCTCAATTCCTACTCTCCCTTTCAGGCCTTGAAGAATGTTTGCTAAGCCTTTCCCTATCCCTGTCTCTCTGGTCTTGTCATGAACCCTTTGGAGCTATGTACACAGAGCGTGACAATTATGCTTTCATAGACCCAGTGATAGACCTGAGCAGCCACCTAGCCACTCCAGGAACCTTCACAGCCTGCTAAAACCAGCTGACGGAAAGGCTCCGTGACAAAGTGGGAAACCCAGTGGGGCCTCACATCTGCTGGTACTTCCCATGATTCTGAAAATAAAGATGTCACTGTAACACTTTCAGTGGATGATGCTCATCCATGAGGAAATTAGGAGAGGAATCAGCCTCGCAGACCAAGGGAGGCGGGCACAGCTCCAGTCCTTCCCCTGAAGAATGCCATGCAGCTGTGGAGGATGAGGCCTGTGCCACTTGGCAGCCAGTGGAAAGACCAGTTCCCCAGATTTGGGGTGCTGGAGAGCGAGTTTCTGATTTCCCCCCATAGCAGACATTTCCCACAGCCTGGTTCTTCATTCTAAAACTCTTTAAGAGGTGATGAGCAGAAAATTTCCTTCTCTTTTATTGTTATTATTGAGGGAAAGAGAAGAGAGCACAGGATTACTTTTGGAAAAGAGATGTCATTAAAATTTATCTTTAAGGTTTTTCAAAGGTTACCTTGGCTGGGCCCATTATCTTCGGAAAAGTGTAAGAGGCGCATCCTTCTGGACTTAGGCCTAGATGACTAAAAGGAGTATGAAATGTTGCCTATTTGGAGAAAAAAATTAAAAAGAAATAATTTTTGTATGTGATTTAAAAAAATCATTATTTATCTATACCCTCACATTACTTAGTTGAAAACTTTTAAAGAATTAGTATTGTGGTATTATACACACACACAATTCATTCTTTTAATGTATGCAGTTTGATAAATTTTAACAAATGTATAGTTATGTAACCACCACCCAAATAAGATACAGAATATTTCCATCACCCCCAATCATCCCGTGTCCCTCGCAGCCATCCATTCCTCTCAGCTCCAAAAAACTGCTCATCTGCTTTCTGGTCCTAAAATTTTGACTTTTCTAGAAATTTATATGTAAACTAGTGGCCTGGCGCATGGATTCGTGCACATTGAAAGGAAATTAATTAGAAGAAATACTTTAGTTCTGGGGTGCATCACCCGAGAACCACCACTGCCAAGTTACTGCAGCTCGGCAGCTCCTGCGTTGAGTGTCTGTCCCCTGGTGGTCAGTGTGCATCATACCTACTAGACGGTCGGACAGTCACTTAGCTTTATATATATATAGATGAAATAATATACTGTGTAGCCTTTTGTCCTTTTGTAGGCTTCTGTCCTTAGCATGTGGCTTTTGAGAGTCACGTGTTGTTGTATGTGTTACTAGTTTGTCCACTGCATGGATGTGTCATAATTTATTTATCCTTCTATCAGTTGAAGCCATCGGTGTAATTTACAGTATTTTGGCTATTATAAATAAGGTTGTTATGAACACTTGTGTACAAGTCTCTGCAGGAACATGTTTTCAATTCTCATGGAGTAGAATTGCTGGGTTGTGTGGTAAACGTATGGTTTAACTTTGTAAGAAGCTGCTAAATTATTTTCTGAAGTGGTGTACCATTTAACATTCCCTCCAGCAGTGTATGAGTTCTCATTGCTCCATATCCTTGCAAAACCTTGTTATTATTAGTCTTTTTAACTTTAACCATCCTAGTAGGTATGTAGTGGTATCTTGCTGTGGTTTCAATTTACATTTCCCTAATGATCAATAATGTTGTGCATCTTTTCATGTACTTACTAGTCATTTTTATATCTTCCTCGGTGGAGTAGCTATTACAAGTACTTTTCCCACTATTTTTAAATTAGATTATTTTTTATTATTATTGAGTTGTAAGAGTTCTTTATATACTCTGGTTACAAGTCATTTTCATAATGGTGTCTTTTTCATATATTATTAAGAGTCATTTATACTTTATTTTCTGTGAGCTATTTGTGCCGTAATCGCAAATTTTTATATTAAATTGGTGACCTATCACTCTTTAGATGTATTTTTTAAAATATATTAGAGAGATTAGCCTTTATTATGTGAGTAGAAAAACTATTTTCCCAATCTGTCATTTGTCTCAATTTCGCCCCAGAGGTTTTTTGATTTGCTTTAAACACTAGGAACAATTTCAATGTTGGTTATTTAAAATAAGTCATTTTTAGTGGCTTTTTTTTATATTTCAGAAATATTTCTGTGTTTTTCTTGATGAATATTGACAATATGCAAACAGAATATTTAGGCTTTGTTTCCTATTATCAGATATGGTGTTTTTATTTTAATGAATATTGTTAGAAGGTGTAAATATATAATGTATGCAGCATATTAATCAAAATAATAAAAATATATAAAGGTATTAATGTCTTCTCTCCCTATTTTCTCTCCCTCCTCTCCCAAAAGAAAGCTTATTCAAGAAAATATACTGAGAAGTCACAGCCTAAGGAACAGAAAACTGAAAAAATGAAAACGAAAAGGCCAACAACCATAGCTAAGGGGCCACAAACAGGTACATACTAAGCTGACGACGAGCAGCATTTAACTTATTTGCCACCCCTGTTCAAAGCAGATCAATTAATTGGTCATTTAACACAAAGAATGTAGCCAAAGACTACTGATTTCTGCCTTTGAGCAGAAACTTCCACATATAAAGGTTAGGCAGTGTAGCTCCTAGAATTTCATTTGCTCCCATTATGGGAAAATTATTCATAAGAATTAGATCTGCCAAAATGCCCAATCTGGTTAAATGGAATCCAGTAAAAGATAAACAAAGTGTTAGGGACCCTATTAAACAGGCCTGGCTCTCAGTGGGGAAAACAACTCCAAACACAAGCAGGACTCTCATCAGTGGTAAAAATCACGTTTCCCACCAGGTTGTAGAACAGCAAATTTTACCATGACTAATCAAGCGCCACTCTAATAACCAGATAACCCTAGAAGTGGTTACTAATTCTACAGTAAAAAGTTCTAGGGTAAAGGTTCTAAGATAAATGTTCATCATGTCTTCGCTTGTAATGACAAAAACTGGAAGCAGCCAAGGCTTCCAGCAGTCAGAGACTGGTTAAACTAATAAGTTAAATAACTCAAATGTTAGCACTAGTTATCTCTTGAGTGGTAGCTAAATGATTTCTAACTTTTTTCTTTGTACTTTTCCATATTTTTCAAAATTTTCTACTGAAGTAAGAACAGAAATTAAAATCAATATCATTCAATGGTGAACACAAGACTGAATTGTGTTTTGGGCAAGTCAGTCCTCTGAGCTTTCAGTTTTCTTATCTGCAAAGGAGGAAGTGAAAGTAGATCATGCTCGAAAATGACCTTCATATTCTAAAATTCTAAATTGTAGCATACATTTATTAGGAAAAAAAGTATCAAATAATCCACTTGTATAACCTGCAAAGATGCTACTCCCTTACCCCCTCTCCCAACAAGCTTTTAAAGTCTCCAAAATATTTTAGAGTAACATGAAAATTGAATCACTGTTGTGTAATTTGATTAAAATACAGAAAGAGTTGTAAAATGAGTTGAGAAAAGAGTTGAGAAAATGTTCACAACAATATTGGTGTTTAGAAAAATTCAACTTAAAAATTCAAAATAAAATGAGTCAAATTAGTTAGACCAATTCTTTGGGAAAAATTTAAATTTAGTCCATTCAACCACAAACAATATGTAATCTATTTACTACTAGCAACAATAATGGAGAGTCAAGGATCTCATTTTACTGGCATTACTTGCTAAGTTTCTGGGAGCTCACCTACCCTGTCAGAGGCATACACAGCATCGAATAGCCCGAGGATGGTGACGGAGATCCCCACAGCTGGACCGTTTACCACTGCAATCAGAGGCTTAGGAAAATCTATAAAAGTGCCTACAAAATCCCTACAGAAATAGAAATACAAAAGCATGTTTAAATGTTCTAAAGCTGCATTATGGAAGCATAGGCAAGACAGCAGGACTCTGAAGTAACAAACTCTTCTGGCCAGACTGGGTGTTCCCATCTCACCCAGCAGGGCCTCCCTGTCTTGCCACACCAGATGCATCCAGGACAGCCATCTGAATGGCACTTGACAGCTCACAGAGTGAGTCCTAGATTCGACCTTGGTTCAAATATTGCATTGTGGGCAGTTAGGTCAGGACCATAAAGCTGCTGTGGACTTAAGAGATTAAGATGGCTGAGCATATACTGCATATCACAGCTCAGAGGGAATCAGAGATCCTGCAGGGATAAATAAGACAGGAAGAGGAGCCTCACACCTTCTGTTTTTTGAGATTACGTCAAAGTCTCCTATTACCAGCAATCATGGAAGTCATGAATTCCTTTGGCTGCATGATAATTTGCTAAATTCCTCTGTCTCAATATGAGAGAATTTTATTTCCTTTATTTACTAGTTTACTTTTATGCTTTCCAATCACATCTCACGTAGAGCAGAGGATGAATAGGTAACGGAAGTTAAAGTGATAGAATGAATGTCTACCTGTTGATAAAGCAGTTTGGAGAAAATGCCTGTTCAAAGTCACAATTAATCACATGGATATAAGAAGTATTTATTTTTCTTTTGCTCAACTGAATACCACTTTGATGGAATATGGATGAACCCTCTGGGACCAGAGAAATGACATTCTTACCTCAGCATAATAGCACTTTGTTTGGCTTTCTCTTCTACTCCACCGGGAGGAATATCAGTGAAGTTAGCCAGATCATTCCCACTACAGTAATAGTCACCATTTCCTGTAAATAAAATAAAAAAGCTCACCTTTCATTCACTCTATAATTGTTGAGAATCTATGTACCAGGCTCGGTGCCAAACAATGGAAACACACTGGTGAACCAGCTCTGGTTCTTGCCCCAATTTACAGATTAGTGAGTAAAATAGACATTGATTTTAAAACACACAAATAAGTGTAAGCAATGAAACTATGACACAAAGGAGTGGTACATGACAAGAATATGAGTATATGTAATAGCGGGTTTGGTTTAATCAGAGTTTTGGGAGGGACTTTTCTAAGGAAGGAACAACTGAACTGAGATCTGAAGGAGAGGCAGGGTTAACTAGAAAAAAAGGTGTGAGAAGAATATTCATGCAGAAGAAATAGCATGTGCAGAGGTTCTGTGGAGGGGGTAACCCTGGTGTTTATGATGGGTTCAAAGAAGTACCATTGTGCCAGGGCAGAAAAAGCAGGGGGCCGGGGAAAGCAGCTGGAGTAGGAGTAGGATGAGGATAGGTAGGATAAAGCATGCAAGGCTTTGGAGATCCTTCCTTTGAAGAGCCATTGAAGGTCTTTTCTTTTTGTTTGTTTTAAAGTATAATTTACATACAATAAAATGACCAGTTTTAAAGACTCAGTTCCATGATTTAAAAAAAAAAATGTTTTTATTGATTTCAGAGAGGAAGGGACAGGGAGAGATAGAAACATCAATGATGAGAGAGAATCATCAATTGGCTGCCTCCTGCACGCCCCCTACCGGGGATCCAGCCTGCAACCTATGCAGGTGCCCTAACTGGGAATCGAATCATGACCTCTTGGTTCATGGTCAATGCTCAACCATTGAGTCACACTGGCTGGGCCAGTTCAGTGATTTTTGAGAACTGTAAATATCTATGTGATCACAATTCAAAACATCCATCATCCCAGAAAAAGTTCCCTTAAACTTCTACCCAACCCTGTCCTGAGGCTCTCTGGCTTCAATTACCATAGTTTTGCCTATTTTAGAAGTTTATTTAGCTAGAATCATACAATATGTACTTTTTTGTGTGTCTTCTTTCTTTTGCTCAACCATGTTTTAAAGATCCACCATGTTCTTGTGTGTGTCAGTTATTTATTCCCTTTTATTGATGAATAGCATTTCATTGTATAGTCAACTAGAGGCCTGGTGCATGAATTCGTGCATGGGTGGGGTCCCTTGGTGTGACCTGTGGGGACTGGGCCGAAACTGGCAGTCCAACGCCACCTGCTGCTCCCACTCATCCTGGCCCTGCTGCACCTGCCGCGGACTCGTGCCCAGTCAGTCCTGCTCTGGAGAGGCTCATGCTGCTGCAGCAGGACTTGCCAGTCGTGAGACCTGCATCTGATGCCCATCCCGAGGGGGGTCTAGGGGTCCAGGATGTGATTGGCCCTCCAGGCGGGTGGTGGGACACCCTTGATGGCCCAGGATCCAGATCCCTCCCATTGACGTTCACCCCAGTTGTTGGGAGCAGCTTTTATATCGTTTCTTCCTTGTGGAGCATCTAGGGAGGGGAAGCGGCCAGGGCATCCGAGGCCGACTTCCAGGAGGCTGGCAGTGTGGTCTGTAGGTGCCTGGCCTGTTCTCCAGATATTGGACCTGAGGGACTACTGAGGGAGTGGCTGCCACTGAGCTGGTGGGCCACCGAGACAGGCGGTCAGCTGAGCAGCACTCCCACTGTGGGAGTGCACTGACCACCAGGGGGCAGCTCCTGCATTGAGCATCTGCCTCCTGGTGGTCAGTGCATGTCATAGTGACTGGTTGACCAGTTGTTCAGTTGCTTAGGCTTTTATAAATAGACTAGAGGCCCGGTGCATGAAATTTGTGCGGGGGGG